TCACGCGACTAATCTTTCCAGATTCATATGTATAACAAAACCCTTCACTGTTTCCGAACTTATCCTTTTGACTAATTCGAATGATTCTTCCATTTTCATCCAACTCTTTCCAATATCCTTTCCCCATTTCACTCGCAGGAACTATATTCAGTTTCTTACCTTTCTTATAAAAACCATCGAAAGTCACGTTGCCATTTTCATCATATTCCTGCCCTCTTCCTTCTCGATATCCGTTTACAAAATATCCTTTACAAAATAAAACGCCATTTTTACAGAGTGCGCAAGGTCCTGAAGCGATTCCATTCATAAACGTCAGAGTTGCCATTAGAGTATTATCCTGAGAATAAATGCTGGACTCTCCGTCCATTTTCCCGTTTTTCATAGATGTTTTGATTCTGCAACCTTCGTGAGGTTTGCCAACTTCAATATAAGTTGGACCATTTGCTTTTCTTCCTGACTTTATTGGGAATTGCTCAGAAATGTTGTATTCCCACCACTTGTCTTTTTCGTCAGTTTTACAGCTAGTGTTGTTCGTAGTTGGTAATTCGATGTTCGTAACGTGAATAGAGCCCTTTGATAAATAACTCATTTGTAATCAACAAGATAATAGTGTGTAAAAGCAAAGGTAAAACCGAATCCACTAGATCTTTGATAATCAAAAAACATCTGTACAATCTGTGCGTTTCATTTTCCACTTTTATATTTGCCTTATTTGTAAAAGGTTTATTTTTGAGTTATTGTGGTTAATTAGCATCGAAATGACTGCCAACACATATATTTCCATTCCTCATATATATTTGCAGATTTCCAGAGACGTCCATAGTATCTGTTATTTTAGAGAAAAATATTAATATTTCACATGCTCATATCCTTTACTATAGTTATATTGTAACTATTTTTGTTGTTTTTGCTTAAGTGAGAAAGATAGAAATTCCAGGGCCTATAAGTATTTTTGATATACCTTGAATGAAAATGCATTATTGCTGAACTAGTTAGTAATAGGTAAATGACGCAAAAAGCGCGAATCCATTTTCGGCCTTTTTTAGGCCATTTCCGACCCTTCTTACTTCGAATCCATGACGAAAATGCCCTAAAGTGGGGTCTTAGGGATGACTTTGACAACTTCCTTTTTTGCCTTTCATAAGAAATTTCTCCTCCTTTTGAACAAAATGCGCGTGGCGAAACTACGTGACAGCTATTGCCGTCCATTGTTGTCCATTGCCTGCCTTGATTGTCAAGACGTGAAAAGCGCGAAAATTCTTTGCCCTTTTGTCTATGGTGAAGAAACACCATGCACTACTCCATGCTCATCCAAGGCTCACCCACGAACGGCACATTCACCTGGATCAATCCGTACAAGTATCGGAACTTCTACATCACTTCCATCACTGTCCTGTTTCGACCAAACCCTGTCATAGTCATTAACGTTGACACGACGAACATTGTCACGAACTCGAATAACAAGAAAGTGATAATTCACGCTGGTTACTACACGATCAGTAAGATTATTGCCTTGCTCAATACCATGACCGATACCACATTCTCGATATCTACGAATGCCTCGTCGTTCGGTTGTATCTGGATTCAGTCTCCATACACCATTGACTTCACGGATGCACCTGACATTCGAGAGATCCTCGGCTTGGAAGACGTGCCGTTATTCTACCCGCTTCGTTCTATGGATCGAGTGTGATTAATATCACGCCAAATCGCCAAGTGATCCAAGTGTACTCGTCCCTCGTGCGTTCCTCCGATCTGAAGATTGCCAACCAGAACAACAATCTGCTCACCACAATGATCATTGATGATCCCGAGGTTAATTACCTCCGCACCGTGGAAGACATCTGCATTCCGATGATAACCCGATTCGATCGATTGATGTTCCTGTTCCGCGATATGGATGGTAATATCATGCGATTGAACGGCGAATTCGAACTCCAGTTGACGATTGATGATGTATACGATGAAGTGCCTTCCTCAATTCTACCGATGAACCAATTCTCCATGATGGAAGTGTTCAGCAATACTACCAAGAAGGAAGTGAAGCTGGACAATCCTCTCTCGTTCGACCAGTGTTCCATCTCGTCTGTATCACTCTATACTGATTTCGTGTTGCACAACGTACCATCCGATCAAGTGATATTAATCGATGCGGGGACATCCCCACACGAGGTGTTAATACCCAGAGGAGCCTACCATATCGAGACGATCATTGCAATACTGAATGCTAGTGATGTTCTGTTCGAATTGGTGTATAGCGGTGAGAATGCATTCCACATCACGGTAGATCATTTCTACACGATCGATTTCACGAATGCACCAGAGATCCAATCGATTCTCGGTTTTGAATCGAGTGTGCTGGTGAAAGAACTGGACAACCCACGGCAATACTTCCTGTCTTCCTCATGCAACCAGGTAGTAGTGGTGTCTAACAGCTAGTTCTCGCAGTATTTTGGCATATTGCTTACTCTTCTCTTCATCAGTTTCCTTCTCCATACGTTGTTTGATGGTATCCTGCATTAGTTCGGCTCGATTGAGCGTATTCTCTGTTCTTCTTGTCAATCGTTAGTTGTTGTACGGACCTCGATGGTTGAGTCGTCTTATTCGATTCTTAATAGCGAGCAATGTTGTATCACTGTTTGGAATGTATGGACTATCTTCCATTTAATTCTATGTCTATAGTGAATTTAAATGTGTATCCACAAGACCAAAATAAATGGGTGGAAGGGAAAAACTTCGATTTCCCCAGCGAAATCCTTGGACTTCCCTACAAGAAATCGCAATTGAACACGCTAATCTTTTTTTAATCTTGATTTGGGCAACCGAGAGATTCATGTACGAGATTGTCTCGCCGTTTTTACCCTCAAACTCCCAGTTTTCCCTGGTTATAACGATGTCGATCGTCACGTTCATGTAATCTTGAAGCGATACAGGGCACATTTCGTAGATCAATCTGGATGGGCTTCTTGTTCTTGTCTATAATTGCCATGGTGGGGACAATTTTACTTTGAGCAATATCTCCCCGTTTTTCTTGGATCACATTGAGCTTCCCTAGATCATGAAGTGCAGGCAAATAGCGAACAGATAGATGATTGTGATCAATACGAGTTGTCGAGTGAAGATAAACGTCTGCGATTCACACACCAACGATTCGAAATACCTATACCGGTCGTGGTATACGCTGACTTCGAGTCAGCCATTGATGAAAAGAACAGACTCAAGCCTATTATGTTGTCCTGTCTAACCGTGTCACGTACTCCAGACATTAATACGCGATTGGAAATCATCCACACACCACACGAGGATGAGAGATATTTTCGTCCTTTCATGGAGTATTTCATGCAATTGCAATAGAGAGTGAAGAAGTATCTCTTCGATGAATAACCCCTCAAGAACACTCTTGAAATCTAGAGAGATTATCAATCTACGTCTGTGTGTCCCTTTTGTCACAAGAAATTGGAGGACGACAAGGTTAGATATCATGTACATGTAGCAGGTGAATACACCACAGGGAAGGGAGAAGTACTCCACTTCGAAGCCGGACAGTACATCTGCACCTGTTGCACCAAATGCAATCTACAACTTCCGTTCAACAAGAAGAACTATCGTTTGCCAGTCTACTTCCACAATGGATCGCACTATGATTTCACATTCATCATGAAGCTCAAAGTTGCAAATGTATCCGCTGCTGACTCTCTCGGGGTCATTCCAACCACCGAGGGCAAGGAAATGCAGATTGAATACAACGGCATTCAATTCAAGGACTCGTTGAAGCTCATCAGCAGTCCACTGCGTTCCATTGTGGCTCAGACACTTGGTGGTAACCTCGATTTGTACGTGCACACCAAAGACCAACTACGCAAGTACTGTGAGTCTCGAGGTAAGCAATGGAGTGACGAATACATCGATTTGTTGACACGGAAAGAACCAATGTTCTACAGTCTCATCAAATCATACGAGTCATTGAACAATACAGTCATTCCTTCTCGTAAGCAATGCATTGATGATATGAAGGGAGAGATGATGCCCCAAGACGAGTATGATCACATGGTGAAGCTGTGGAAGACCTTCGATATCAAGACATGGGGTGAATACTACGAATTGTACAATGTACTCGATGTGACTCTCATGGCTGATGCATTCGATCATATTCGCGTTACCACACTGAATGCATTCGGTGTTGATCCAATGCATTACATCACAGCTCCACATACGACCTATTCGCTCTTCTTGAAAGTGACGATGGAGGGCGATCATGGCATGAGGGCATTCAGTGAGAAGTGGGCTCAGTACATTACACGAATCAATGCGAACGAGGGGATGAGTGAAGAGCAACTGGAAAAGGTGTTCATGGATCGCATGGGTGAATTCTATGATAGCAAGGGCATTCGATTGATGGAGGAAAATGAGATCGATGATGCCATGCGATGGTTGAAAATATGTGCGGGGACATCACTCAGATCGCGAAATGGCACGCCATGATCGACATTGACAGAAAGGAGCAAGTAAGGGAAATAGCATGGTTTTTCCGGCGTCTGCTATCGCGATGCGAACAACCTGTACGGAGGAGTTCTGTACCGCATGATGCCTTACGAATTGGTTGGTATACCTCAACGACAAGAAGTGATGGAGAAGATCAATCGTAACCCAGACAGATGGATTTAGTCACTCAAGACAATCGATAAATACGGGCTTTGTATCGAATGCGATATCGAAGCACCAGTAAAACTCCATGACAAGTTCAATGACATACAGTTCTTTCCAGTACAGACAGCAGGTATGTATTCTGATGGAATCAAGAACTACGCAGAGAAGAATGACATTGTGAACAAAGTGAAAGAGGTGAATACACTGAAGCTCATCTGCGATCTTGTATCTTGTCAATAGTATCTCGTACATTACTCTTTCCTGCAATTAGGCATTCAACAGGGATATCGGGTCATCACATTCATCACCTCATTCGATTCAAGCAGGCACCGTTCATATTCGAATACGTGAACATGCTGAGTGAGAAACGAGCGAAGTCTAAGACCACTGTGGAAAAGAACCTCTGCAAACTATTAGCAAATTCCACGTATAATAAATTCGTGGAGACTGGATTGAAACGAATGAAAGTGAAGTTTGCCATCAAATTGAATGAACGCGAGGCTATCATTCATAAGCATAAAGGTGACATGATCGCCGGAACTATTATGTATTCCAGTAATTTGATTGGTATCACGCTCAATAGATTAGTGAGGAAAGTGGTGAAATCGTTCTTCATCGGGTTTGCCATATTGGATATGTTCAAACACATCATATACGATTTCTACTACACTGTGTTCAAGAAGACATTTGATACCGTGGAACTATTGGGACAGGATACAGATTCGCTTATCGTACAATTGAATGACTAGGGCAACATCGTTCACAAGATGTGCAACATGAACAAGCCATTTGACTTTTCTGAACTCGATAACACGAGCTACTTCTATGGAGAACACGCGAACTATTACGATCATGAAGTGGACAAAAGCAAGTTCCCTTCATTGTCATCGTTCCTCAACATTAACAAAAAACCACCGGGACCCATTAACAAAGACAATTACAAAAGACATAGCATTATGCAGTTCGTTGGTTTGAGACCAAAGATATACAGTCTGGTTGATGAAAAGGATGTCATACATAAGGCGGCGAAAGGAGTTCCTCGCAATGTTGTAATCGATGGTGAGAAAATGAGTGTGAATAATGTCGATTTGTACTAGCTTGTCCTTGAGGCAGAAAGTCATTAGGATGCAGTAATTGAAAGCAGCTTCAAACGCATCAACTACCAGGAATTCTATTTTACCACGAACGAACAGACCAAGACACTCATGTCTTGCACAGACAACAAGCGATGGATCTTGGATGACAACGTGCATACACTCGCATTCAGGCATTACTGATCGGCTGATAAGTAAGGACAAGCTAACAAGTATTCACTTTAACTATCGGGCAATAATTATCGCACAATACACGTCGTCGATATTCAGGATAAGCAAAACTAGTTAAGGTTAACATTTTGTACCTTACTTCTTCTGAAGGCCTAAAAATACAAGTTGTCCGCATCATATTGCGTGATCATCGCTAATATTCAATTAACAGAGGTTTGAAGGCGACTTTGGTTACGAAGATCAGATCAGATAATTGTCTTTGATCGAAAAAGGCTTAAAAGAAGGACACAAATTTCGGCGCAAAACAAGTAAATACACAACTACTCTAACATTTTCCTATCATTCGTGAAATCGAAATTGAAAAAAGAATTGTTGCAAAATAGAAAAACCTCTTCGGAAAATTCCGAGATTGATGCAATACTTATAACATCCGTGTATTGCAATTGACGAAACATTTATTATATAACACTAGATACCATCAATTTTAAACGGATTGAACCCAATAGTCCTATAACAATATGCCACAGAAATAGAATAAGTAATTAATAGTGATTGTAAATACTATAAGTTGTTTCGATTCGTTTCAAGTATACTTTTGATCATAATATCAAGTTGAATGAATAGAGTCTTATCATCAATTAAATAGTTGTTCAGCTCATGTTCTAAACGAATGGCGAAACATTTCTTTTACAATAGTTCACATTCTTAAATAGTATTTGTATAGGACGCGACTATATAGGATTATGTACAGGAAATCTATTGTAAACAGAGTAGAGGCACATAATTGATCGAATTGACAAAATAGCTATCAATATTCTTCATAATAGTTTTTATTTTTAATTGTATATGTAAATTTGTAATATAATATATATTTAAATTTATACTGGAAATGAACGTGTGTATTCTTGGTGTTTCTATTTGTTTATTCTTTTCAAAGCATACATAACTATTAGTCATCTAATTCCAACATGTTTTTTGTCACATCCGGCAAGGAATTATTTTCTATAAATACCATTTTTGCTCCAATACTATGTGATTTTAATCATTTGAAACGTAATCACTATGGTTAATAGATCAAGCCATAATCCTTTTGTATCATCACTACTTACAATGTGCTGTCTTGTATTGTGAAATAGATGATAAAACAAGATACACTGATATTCAAGCAATAGTTTTTGGCTGCTTGCATTACCCTCATTTTGCAGTATAACGATTATTTGTACAGATAATTCAAGGGAAATACCATCACTATTTTTCATCATTCCATACGCTTTATTTCGTAACCCGCTATTATTTTCCAGTAACTAAGTAGAAACAAACAAATATTACAAATCTGGGTCTACGATATTTTCGAATATCTCTTTAATTCTCTTTTTTCCATTGGCATCTTTTTCAGTAAAAACGTTTCATCTATTTTGAAGCCAGAAAGCATCTTGGGATTCTTCGCTCGTTCTTCCTCATACTCTTCCGCGTTACACAACCAAACTGCAGCATTACTGATCCATCGTGCTGTTCCATCTTCGGTAAACTCCAAAAACAGTTTGGTGGCAGCTGAATCAATGATCATTCTTCCTTCTTGACTACCCTCCTTCCTTTCTTTGAACATAATTGAGGCATTTCCCTCGCTTTCTCTTGCAAAAATACGGAATCCTGCCTTTTCTAACTGACCTTCATTCAGTTTGCAAAGTTTAGTTCCTTCAAAAATATGCTCAATACCAAAATCTAAACTATCACAAGTAGAAAGATCTGTCGCATTTCCTCCAATCGTACAAAAATGACCTGCTGTTGGAGATTCGCATTCTAACCTTTCCATCACTTTTCCTCCATTGATGGTTTTGTCTCTATCTCCAACTGCTTCGAATCCATAGAATTTCTTGAAATACAAATCAGCTTCATAAGTGAATGGGTAGTTATTAAGGAACCAGTAAACACCGCCTCCTCTCTTATTGAATTCATGAACACAACTCACAAAAGCATCCGCATATTGATCTACATCATCATCACACTCCTTGGCCATGATTCCATCTCCAGGAGAACAAGTAATGAATATCATTCGATATCTATTACTCTTTAATTCTTTGATTGCTGCCTTGTAATCAAAAGCATAACGAATCTTAAATCCTTTCCCAATCGGCTTTCCATTGATTTCCTTGTCCCCCAACTTCAAAATAGGAGAGTATTTTCGGCCATTCACTTCTATACCATTTCTTAGCGTTTGTTCAGTAATAAACTCATCAATTACTTTTCCCGCTTCATTCTTTTCTCCTCGACACAAATATAGAATAATAAACAATATTGAAAACTGTTGATATGATCTATTCGGCTCATCGATGGGTTTATCACTGCTCAATATAGTTTCAAAATCACTTTCAATGTTGCAAATGCTCTCAGTCAAATCAGGATATACTTTTTCAAATGCTCCGTTTAGAATCATATCGTCAATTTTCTTTTCTGGAACTGCATGTAAATAACCATTGATTGATGCAGTGGTTAGATTCATCAGTGTTTCAGATAATCGAGCTGGATTTGAATTCCAAATCATTGCAGGGAACAAATCTTCAAATCTGCACAAATACAAACCAATTCCAATTCCAAGAATAGTCATTTCAATACCACTCACAATCGATTTGATTTCCGCTCTCGAGTCATCACACAGTACACCATTAGTTAACACCATCATGACAGATTTGAATGATCGGGCATGGCAAGTGCTCGAAGCATAGCGAATGCAATCTGGCAAACAGGTATTCTGACAAGGAATCAATAAATGCTGGTACACTGTAGCCACAATACTGTTTTCCCACACTTCCATCGATGAGATGCCTGTTGCTATACGAATGATTTGAGAAGATGCCACCCACAAGTCAATACAAGGCAGCTGCATGTTACTTAGATTCCGAAGGATTGAAAAGATTGTTATCAATGAATGAGCTCGATTTGTTTCACTAAATGCGATGGAAGAACAGTCGATCACTATACTCGCACTATAGCCACGAGTTTTCTCACTTCGAAGCTTCTTAAATATTTTGTTATCTCCTGTGTGATTAACTACAATATTGACATAATTTGCGATATGAATGGATGGTCCGGAGGTAGATGGTATGTATGCCGCCGATTTAGAAGGAACAAAGAGAGAACTGGTCAGTGCATCATACAGATTAGCTTCGTGTATACAACTATTCAACATATTTAATACTGCCCGATCGTTATTCCATACTGGACGTATATTCAGCTGCTCATCTGAAATATCCACAAGCTTATAAGGTATTTTGATTGATATTGCATTGATTTGCACCACTGACTTGTTCACTTTGAATACAACTTTCAGATCTTCCTTTAACTCTCGAGCATAATTTGATGAAGAAGATATATTTGACACAACATTCATTTTCACCTCCTGCGTGTTAAAAAACACATTCTGCAGTTTGTTATCTGTTGAATTTAGGATGTCTTCGATATTCTCTATGATCATCAGATTATCATGGAAATTTGCTTCCAGTGCTTTTTCGAGCAACGCCTGATTTGGATCACTTAATGCTTCATCATCTTGTCCTTTCACACACAATAAAAACAACTTGGAATACACTCTAAGCAAATATCTCACTTTGTTATTGTCTGGAGCCATCAACTGTTCACTAAATCCATCACTCACAATCACAATCGAATCTTTTTCATTAAACTGACCCGAAATTGTCAACAAATCCAAAGGCGTTGAGGGATATTTCACTACCCTTTCCAGGTCAAACAAAAATGAAATGATTTCGCTAATCGATTGAGCTTCTGTAGAGACATATACACCCTTGTATCTACCGCAACACACATACAATTTAAAGGTGATTCCAAGTTCCCGCATCACTGTTACAAGAATGCAGGTAATGATTGTCCGCATGCGAAGCTTCTTCTTTCTCAAACTGCAATTCGTATCGATAATGAGAGAGATTGTTGAGTGAGTTTGTTTGCTCATCCACTTCATGTCCTTAAACATTTCAATCGCTTTCACTGAAGTATCGACGATTGCCTGAACAACTTCGCCGGCAATCCTATTCATGGTACTCGTCAGTGTCTTTTTCGTAAGAGAGTCTGCTTTGCTCATTGGATCTACAATCTTTGCAATTGTTTGACGAGAGTATAGTAATTCAAAAAGACTATTCATATTCAGTCGATTCATGATCCTTATACAGCTCTTAGAATTCAACTTTCTGTAGCTATTTTCGTTTTTTATTACGCTTTCACTTCCAGTTTTAGTTAGAACTTCATTGTTCCATTCCAGCTTGATATTTTCGTGAGGAACCAATTCCAGAATACGCTCCGCTTCTTCTTTAATTGACGGAAGAATCATGTCATTCACACATCCAATTAACACAGAAAGAATACTATTCCGATCATTCAAATTCGCCGAGAAAAAAGTAAAAGGAACGGAGGAAAAAGCAGACAAGAATTCACTCATCTGCACTGAATGCATCTTGACAATCGTAGTTCGAATAAGTTCAGGAGATGTATTTGGAATCTCCAATAGATTGGGTAGAGTTCGTTCAATTTCAAACGGAGCCAATCCTTTTTCACTCCATGTGAAGCATTCGCTGTAAGAGAAGTTCTTGAGTGAATCCCCTATTCTAAACAACACATCAATGTATGGATTTCTGGATATGACATTTGTTGACCCCTGAGCACAATTAAAATGATTTGCATGGCCGTTTATAAACAGATCAATGCTCATAGGAGATGATTTCGGATACAGTGTAAACCGATTTCCATGCATTACACTAAACGAATTGTTGATAGCGCAGGGCACTGAGGTTTTAATAAGATAAGAAACTGCCCGTCTCTCGTAACAACAAACCACTATTTTGGATGTAAGCTTCTTGTTGTCCGATAATCGATAAACGATAGCGGTAAGTTTCACGATTTTCTTCCCAATTGAGGAATCTTTCATCACAATTTCAAAGCAGTTTGCACGTTTTGTAATATAGCAGTCATTTCCAACAAGTTCCAAACTCACCTCCATACTGGTCAACAAATAATGCAAGACAATTTGATTTCCATGAACCCCCACATAGCTAATTGGAAGATTGAAAGTATTGTTCTTCGGAAGACAGATCGATGCTCTGGCTCCATCATACAACACAACGATTGCATCTACTGAAAGCAATTCATTTGTATTCAATGGAGTTAGGTTCATCTTCATAGGAAAGAAAAATAGCGATGGCGAAAAGAATTCTCGCTTGCTCTTCTTTAGATGTTCTTTGTACTCCATTTCATTGCGTTTTATCATTTCCTTTCGTTGTTCAATTCTTTTGTATTCATTGTACAGCATTTTAAATTCTTTTATGTCGCTTTCTGCCATTGGATCTACACTCCTTACAGAACCAAAATCGGGTCCAATAACTAAAAAGTCTTCAAGAGCCCAATACGTCTTCATGGAGCTGATCACTGCTTGATCAAGAGTAACTAAATTCGAAGGCACGATATCCTCGGCACGCTGAATCTCCGCACATTCGATAGGGTCCTTGGAATAATTGGTTGAATTGGTTAAGGCAAAGAGTCCAAAAGAAAAGGGTGAATGGGAAGTAACATACACAAACGAAGAATGATAATCAGTGGATTGCTTACTTTCATCTTGTTTCCATTTTAATAGTCTATCCTGAGCAATAGGAATAAGGTATTTTAGACTAAAGCGATCTCGTAAGTGAACCATACACTTCAATAAGCAAAGAAGCGTATACATTTTTGTGTTGATTTCTGTGACGTTTTGTTTCTGAACCGCATCCCACCTTCTCTTTTTGTAGTAGCTTAACATATTTATGCTGTTGGAATAATAAACTAAATCTAGATCGTCCCGTTTCAATTCAATAATCTCATCGTCGATTGAGATGTTCACATTCCATTTAAATGGTGCAAGAGGCAAGACCAAAATATATCCAGCAGCAAGTGAAACTCCCACTTTCTTTATCACATTACCCGCTAATTGAAATGTTGAAGACTTTAAAAAGTCACAAATCCCTTCTGGAGCGAACATGGACACGATGAACTGTTTGTTTTCAGTTAGTAAAGCATGATTCTTAGAAATAAATACCATTTGAAAATCAAATGGGTGGTAATCATAGCACGGAATGATATCGATATCTTGCTCTTGGGTTTTCGCATTGTCCAGAAAAGCCATGAAATCTTGCTCTTTCAAATTGTTCACCGCATACATATAGCAAAACATTTTGATTGTATTGGAGTTGCGAATTGTATAGTCCTTTCCGAGTCCTGTGCTTTTAGTTCTTTCTTCTGCCAGTTTCGTATATTTGTCGCTTAATTCTAGTATTCTCTCCTTCAATTCTGCATCCTTTTGTTGAAATGCAAGTTCACTTTCTTTCATTTTCTTCTCTGTTTTCTCCAACTCGCCTTGCAGTTCTTCCTCCTCCGCGCTATGAATATCAGCAGCCACAGAAATGACCGACATCACGAGTTCATCAATGTTCCACACGTTCTTGATTACTTTGATAAAAGCATTTCGAAGCAAAGTCACGTTCAACATATCGAGAATCACTCTTCCAAGAAGAGTTCGCTTTCGAGGACAAAGAATCAAAAGCTTGTCTTCAATTCTCAATTTGCATTCATGGCTCCACAACTGACACAATTCAGGACTTGGAATATTCATCGGGAAAATGAGAAGTCGTTCCTTTTCCAAAAGTTCACTTGGAATCGTAGTTCCTGGTTCAACATGTGAAGGAAGATCACACTTCCACTCACTTTCGACCTGATAGATTTCCAAGCAATCAAATTTGTCGATTCCTGTATTCGTATCGATAGCATTTAATAGCAATGGAACTCTCAAATCAATTGCTCTTGGTGCACGGCTTGAGAAACACTTTTTCAGTAAGTGTTTCCTCAAACTTCTACATGCCTTATGCCGATCCTTTGTTCTAGATTGAACAGAGATCCAATAGGTTTGATACCAGTTATTGGTGAACAGCATTTCAATCGCTGATTCGAATTCGTTTTGAGTTACTTCGATTGGAGTGACAAATGGATATTCACCGTAATCTACGAGGAATTCACTCCAATCAAATTGTTCCATTTCTTTTTTGAGCAACACATTCAACATTGTCAATAAGTGAGGAAGGAGAATGGATATATACTGAAACTCCCTCAAGATATCTGCCACACTCAATTTGAATTCTTTCAACATGTCGGCGTATTCAATCAAAATAAATGGGTAGTTCTTAAATGTTTTCAACTTGTAAATCAAATGAGATAACTTCGCAGCTGAACGATTTGAATATGTAAAGTAATGATAAACAGAGTAGTTCGGTTCTAACACATTGAAATTCATAGATTTGTATGTTCTACCATTAATCATTCCATCCTTAAATGCTTCAATAATGCAACTTTTCAATTCCTCATTTTTGCCACTATTCAGCACAGCTTCGGAATATCTGAACTTCA